AAAATCTTAGGCATAAAAACACTGGACTGTCTTATACTACTCTTGACGATTTTCTTGGTAGAAAGCTCTTAATTTCCGTGAAAACTGTTTCCAAGATTAGCCGCACCTTTGCAGGTTCCCTATACTACAACTGGACTTTTCCATTGTCTTCCTTGAATCTGCAGTGGTAAGTTCTAAGTTCACAGCCAGAAAATTCATATTAAACAAAAGGCCAAAGCCTGAACAGAAAACAATTTTCAGGCAGATCAGTATCTAAGCAAACACACGGATGTTCAGCTGCAGGTGGCAGTGCCAGCACAAAGGTGTCAGATTTCACATCTTTTATCTTGCACCAATCATACAACACCAAAAGCTCTGTGCTCTCAAGTCACATATTGATGTTTTCACCATTGTAAAAATCCGACTCTGCATGGGAAAGTAGCGTAAGTATCAGAATAAGAGTTAATCTCAAATTAAGAATTATTACATTAGTTTCCACAGTTTTGATGTGGGGTAGGTAACTTCTTTTACTTACTTTAAAAAAAAATCTTTTACTACTCTTTAATGCCAGTGATGGTTCAAAGTAGCTTTGAATAGAAAAACACAGATAAATATTGCGTGCCATTTTGAAATGCAGAGATTTTTAGATACAACCAATCGCATTTCATACATGCATCTAATTCAGTATTATGTCCAAAGTATATAATTAAAAAAAATAAATAAATAAAATGAGTTGAAGTTCACAGTGTATTAAGAGGAATCTGTATGATTCCTGCAGGGTGGCACGGGAAATCTGAAGGGTATTATTGATACCCTTCAAGTCAGAATGGCAATGACTTCCCTAAGTGCAAATTTAAGTCAACACTTGAGAGGACTCCAAATTCCTGTTGAAATCCATAGTTAGCTATAAAGCATTATTTTAACATTAGTTCTTTAGAGGGAGGGAAGGGGAGGAGATGGAGATAAAAGACACTGTTTATATAGGTGCACGCACATGTTTAAACTGAGGCCTTCCCAAAAATCAAAGAAGTCTTTTGATGTTATATCTTGTCAGTGGTCTGGCAGTGGAGAGGATATGGAAAATGCTGTGTAAATTCATCAATTACATATCTTTTCAACGAAGAAACATTTCAAAAGGAATACAGAGATTAGACCAATGACTGTACTAGATTAGTTCATAGTCTGATAGCAGTACAAGATTTACCAGGATTAATAGTTATAAATGGTCTTACAGTATTTTGGACCAACTGCTAATTCACACCTTCAAAAATAGGAAAGCTAAGTATTTTTAGGAATTGTTATTTCAGATTTCATCAGTCTCTGCCCCTGGAAATCAAAGCAGTGATGCCTCCCTATCAAACCTCCTCTCCCTCAAGATGTCAGGTTCCATCAGCTGCACAGAAGAAATACAATGCATTAAGTCTACACTGAGTGAGGGTTATGCAAAGGCAATCTGTTTTGAATTTTATGAGTTTATATACTTTGAAGACAAAGACATAAAATCAACAAATTGTATCCTAGGAGAATTACCGTCATAGCAAACTGAGCACTCTGAAATGGCCATCAAATTAATTTCTCTTCAGCAATTTTCCTTAGGCATGTACAGCAAATATCAACTCCCAGGAATACTGCAATAATGTTACAAAGTTCTTATCAATAACACCATTAGTTTGTGAGTCTGTGCAGTTATACTTCATTTGAAATATAGCAACATTTTACAGCTGGAGTATATGATATCTCGTGTTCACTGAATTGCAGCAGTGGAACCACACAAGATTATTGTTGTAGATTTCTATTGTGATTGACATTCAGAAACTGATTTCTCTGTCAATTCTACTTTCATAAGCTGCTCATTTTCTTCCACAGAAGTATTTTTCAGGTGGAACTTTAATTAAAAAAACAAACAAACAAACTCCAACCAACAGTATAGAAACTTGCAAGCAACAACAGAAAATAATTTAAATTTGAATGCAGTTTCTTAGGAAAAAAACACAAAAGCGAAACAAAAGCAGAGACATAGACACGCAAAATACAAATAAGCATAGGGCTCAGAAGTGATGGAATGCACTACTAGCGCTATATAGCAGTTCAGTAGGCCAACTGTATTTTATTTACCAAGGAAAGAAAAAGTGCAAGTAAGAAAACAGAACTGTCACAGTGGATCAGGCTAGTGCTTTGACTACTGCTTTATCTACCAGTATGCATTACTGCCTTCTCAAGGGGCCTTACTACAACAATAGGTAAACTGGAATGAATACACATAATGAAGCCTTCTCCTAAGGCTCAATACTTATTACTTTTCTTGACCAGCAGAACAAGTGCTTCCAGACGTTGTACATTATTACTTACAGATGAAATTAATCATTATTTTATTAATCCTTTCAGTATTTTTACATGAGCACCACATTAAATGATTTGCCAAAGCTATTTTTTCTTTTCTAACCTCAGACTCTGTCTTAATCTTACTTATTAAAAATAAATGTTAAATTTAAAAGGATCAGATACTGTTTATAATTTTTCAACAGTTACATTCAGAAACTTTGTTATCTTCTAAGGTTCAATATCATCATATAGTTCAGATGCCCCACCTTTCTCTGCTGAAATGAAAAGTTTAGCAAAAGTTGCAGAAATTAGAAAAATACCGAAATCAGAAATCATCAGTTAAAAACTAGAAAATACATTGCACAAATATGAAAAGTAAAATTGACAAATCATTGATGCATTTCTTAAAAAAATTACCTTCTATGTTTCCAGTGTACTTCTGTTGATGTTTTTAAACACTGGCATCGATGCTGGGACAGGATGTTACCACATTGAGGATCAGATACAAAGAAAGGAATTCTTAACTTGAATCAATTCCTTATTACTCTTTTTCTTACTCTTTTCCAAACTGAGAAATTTAAACTTAGTTTTATACTCGAATATATTCATATAAATCAGGACAAATCCAAGTTAGTATTTTCAATCTAAACTAATACAAATAAAAGTCTACTGACCAGAAAATTTACTATTATTAATTAGATGAAAAACACAGAATTACATTCTGGCTCAGTTATTTCAAAATAACAAAATACTATCAAAAACAAGTGATAGATTTTTTTTAATACATAGATAAATTTTATCACAGTACTTTCACTTTAATTCAGAGTAATAGAATTAATTTACATGTGCAAGTCTGTAAGGGTCACATGCTCAAGAACACAGTTTTTAAGTGACTATCAGTTAAGAAATGAAAGCAGTAACTATCAGATATTTGAAAGAAAAGGGGCCTTCCCATCCTAATTCTTAATTTCACGTGTCTTCTAAAGTCATTCATTCAGCTTGAACAGTAAGAAAGAAACCAATACACATTTACTCAGTTTCAAATGACTTATTCCACCATATACCACTCATGAGCATCTCTTCTAATGCATAAAGGTATCCAGATAACACCAACAAAGTATTTTGTATTAAAGCTGACAGTTACTAACAAACTGCAAAACTTCTGTGAAATCTACATTCTGAAACTTCCAGTCTCCAACTGGCTTTCTAAAATAGGACAGAAAAACTGAATTCAAATTGTCTTTTTTCATGTAGAAATTTCATCCTCATAATTAAACCCAAAGAATTAATGAAAACATCATGAAGTCCTATTCCTTGATATCTGAAGCTGAGTCAATAGCTTACAAAAAAAGAAACTCATTACCATTTCACACTGGCAATATATTCTTAGAGAAGAGTGATCCACTAATAATTTTTGTCAGTTGTCCTAGAGAAAAGGTTACACAGGCGAAGATATAATTTATTTGGGTTCTAGGGATATTTTAATTAATTTGACAGAATAACTACAGATTATAGGACAAAGCTTTAAAAAAGCAAACAAACAAACAAAAAAAAAAAATTGCAAGATCATCACCTTACTTCCACTTGTCTTCCTTCCTTCTGCAGTTCTAGTATGTGTCTGAAGGTGGCAGCAATTGTTTATCATTACAGGCTCGGAATTCAGGTTTGTTTTTGTTTAGTTTTGTTACTTACTAACAATTTGTGTAACACAACAATACCTCAGATTAGATGCATTCCAGTGTCACTACCAGCACATTAGAAACGTACAGAACTGAAAAGCATTTCCTACTATAATAAGTAATAATAATAAAAAAAGACAACTCTCTCCTCCTGCCTTTCTTTTCTTCTACAAAGCATTATCTAGAAACCTCATGTAAGGCACAGATAGGTCTCTTCCCTCAAGAGAGGAACTTGAAATATTTAATACAAGATAACACTGGGAGGAATCTTATACTTACAGTCTTTCCAAATTTGAATATGCTCTTTGTTCTAGGAATTAGCACCCAAAGCTTTCACTTGATCACATTATCACTATACTTAATATCACAGTCATTTGTTTATTTTTACTCAGTGCGGGAAGAATGTTCCCACTAGATACATACATTTTGAAGTTTTAAATATAATGTAAACCAAAAGCTTTTGAAAATGATGGGAAGATTAGTGAAATAGGAAGAAAGGAAGCTTTACTTTTTTTTTTTTTTTTTTTTTTTTTTTTTTTAACCTGATGTCCCCTCTAGGATACAAATGAATTGTGAAATGTAACAAACATCTTCACAGATTTCTGCCAAAATCAAATTAAAGGAGTTGACCTCAGTGATGCTTATGGGTCCTTTCCAACTCAGGATATTCTATGAAATTTCAAAATCCATATAGGAAATTTAGTAATAAACACTTTTGGGCACGCTTGTATGAATTTATATTGTAGAGAAGTCCTCTGCTGCTGTGGGTAGAAAGAAGGTACTCTCAGAAGATGAGTAGTGAATACTACCTCTTAAACTAAATATTTGAGAAACAAAGACACTGGAAGAATTTGAAGGGATGTTTGATGGTGAAACCTACAATTTAATTACTGTTAGATTAGCATATTCAGACTCATGATATCAAAGTATAAATAAGCACATTTAAGCACAGAATAAGTCACATGCAAACCATTGTTTCATGTCCACATGCTCAGAATACTCCAGTTGCAATTGACTTACCTCCAATAATTTTAGACTGGCAGTTGATAAATTCTGGCTTCTTGTCTGTAAGATATCGCTGACATGTGTGATGAAGAATCTGAAAGAATGTGCATTTTTCTGAAGCAGTGCTTGCTACCCATTGGTCAAAAGCATTTTCAAATACTAAATCAAATTCTGGCGAATCCTAGAAGAAAGAATACGCAACTGTTATTCCAGTTTCATGAATGATTTGAAAAAAATGATTTTGGAAAAAAAAATTAAAAAGCAATTATGTTGGAAAAAACAAACAAACAAACAAAAAAAACCCGTGAAGATCATGTAACTTCATATCACCCCAGCATTATTTTTTCTCCTGTATATTGCTGATAAAAACACATGCGGGAATTATTTTCTTTTGTATTTTTAATGAGGAATATTCAGCTAAGAAAAGAAATACCTGAAGACAAGAATATTTTAGATCAAATTATTAGAAGTTGGAATCTGTTAAGAAATTCTTCTTAACTACAGGTATGTAGCTACTTTTACCTTCTATATTAACACAAGGATTTTTGTTTAAATATGTTTGGCCGTTCAGTCTAAAATATATTCTCATGCTGCATTACAGTAAATATGGTTCTGGTTTCTATATTTACCCAAAGAAAGAAACAGAAAGCACTAGTCATTGTATTTAATTTATTACCATAGTGTTGTATAGATCTCAGGATAACAAGAACAAAAAATCACTTTCAGAACCAAGTAACCTCCAGCTCTGTACCTTGCAACAGCTGCCAAAATAGATGGATTCTATGAAAGCTGTGATGCTATACACTTAGCAATATTTGCTAAAAATCATTTTGTAAACTAATCCAGTAAATATTATTTTGAATCAATGACACTGAACTATAGAAAAATAAGTCTGAAAGGAATGTCTAAGCTGAAGAACTTGATAGGACTTTGACATTGAATGTATCTCCAGATGCTATTTACAGAGTTCTTTTGCAGATTATGTGAAATATCTGTATCTATATCCGTATCTATGTCGTTATTCTCATTTTCACCATCCCTCTTATCCAAATAAAATTTTGCTTCCTGCTTTTCACTTAGCAGTGGCCCAAGAACTTAATATTTGTTAGCAGGACTGTACTAAATTTGGTGCACCACTAAGATGCTTATTTGTTTGATCAGAGCACAACCCTGAAGAAACCAAGTGCAGTTAACCATGAACATTCTGCTGTACAATGAACGCAGTAAATAATTTTGTTATCACACAGTATTAGTCACATTGCTACCTTCTAATTTTGCTGTTTGACTACTGAAGATTTGCATTTATAAACACGTTAGTACAATTTTTCCCCAAGAATTCAAGTCAGACTGCACATTCCACATTAAAAAAACATGTAGGCAAAAATTCTGGAAACAATTCCAAAACTACTGAGTGGGTTTTTTGTTTGTTTGATTGATTTTTGTTTTAAATCAGTGGTCATGTGACACTGGCAGCAAAGGTACACTACAGCCCTTTGTGGATAATCAGGGTGTAGGAATCTGAGGATCTGACTGTCCTGGGAAAAGGTTCACAGTATTTCCAGAAACTTGAACCTCAGTAACCCCTCCTTTCTTTGTTTCTACTTACCGGCCTTACAACACAGCTGCATGCCAAAATGGAACCCAAGAGGCTTATAGTTGAAGACAAGACAAACACAGCTCTTATTTTTCTCTTTAAAAGAAAAGACAAAGCAGGGAAAAGGGTACAGGAGACAAGAGGGAAAAAAGAAGATATCTGCTTACGAGCTTTGGCCTCCTCTTGTCTTTCCCATTAAAATCTATTTTATGTACTCCACCAAATAATTTCTTGTTTGAGAATTTGCACTTAAACCTGTCTCTTATCTTTCCATTTGCCTTTTGAATAATGAAAGACGCTTGTTCCAAAAATCAGTTGTAAGACCTCAGTTTCCATTTTCTAGAACTGTTCAAACTTACCTGATTAGGATCAATACCGTTGACCTGGCGAAGCTGCTCAAGCATCCACTGTGTTCTCCTAACAAACGATGTAGACCCTTCAAATTGCTTGACCTTTGTAATAGTTGCTTGAGCTGGTTTTTTGTTTGTCACTAAACACATAAAAGAAAAAACATGCAACAGTAATGGGCTGAATTTTTCAGAAACGTTCTGTTTAGTTCAATATATCAGGTTAATGGTTCTGTAATAACATATATATATATATAAATTCTATAAGGTCCCCCAAAATTAAAAACATACTGCTAATTCTGACAGTAGAAAACATTCTCTTTCGTAGATAACTTAGTGAGAAGTATATTCCTTATGAAAGATGACACAATGCCAAACAGCTGTTATATAACTCAAAATTAGGTACATTTCAGCTCATGACAGGTTAAGTTGCCAACAGCTTATGAAAACCAGAATGAAAAGTAAGCTCTTTACTTCTGAATTTTTACAGACAATTTAGCATTTTCATTTTCCCATCCTAAGTAGCCATAGTTTCTCAAATACAGCTTGTTATTCATTTATCTCATCATTCATTTTTTTCTTTTAGATAAGAGAACTAACGCAGCAATGGCATGCAAGCATAATTTCATATATTACTTTAATTTTATTTAACTGTTACTTTGAACTGATTTCCACGCTGACAATTGACTGAAAAAAAAACCCATACAGGTTTCTCTAGTCTTTTTAAAACATGCCAACACCTATGACATTCAGTTCCCAGTTTACATTCAACAGACTCAAAAGTATATGCGCTTAGTGCACCAAGAAAATAAAACCACAAAACCACAAAGAATCTGTGGAAAACATAAAAATCAAGAAATTAAAAACATTCCATCTTTTCTCCTCAAATAATAGGTACCATAAATAAGAACAATCTTACATATTCCAAATAAAACATATGTTAAAAAAATCCCAATATCATAGAATATAGTTCTGCTTTTGGAAATAAAGAGAAAGTTAATATTAAATAGTAAAGATTGCACATCCTTAACTCATCATTAAGTATTCAAAAAGTTAACGCTAATTTCTCAACAGCAGGCAAAATATGGTCTTACAATAGACTTTTTCTGTAAACAAATAGATTTTTGTGAATATAATTACACATTTTCAATTCTTACAAGAAATTTTAAATCAATTTTAGGCACTTAATACAATCATATTCACTACTATATTCATATTATTTATCTGTTGCTGTTTTATGTTATTTTCAAAACACATTTCTATTTCCAGTGAAAAGATGATTTCTAGAAGCACTGTACTGCACAGTCTACTAAAATTGGTCTGTCACTCATTTTTTCAGAATAAAACATATTTCTGTTCATTTTATATGATCCTCCATAAAGAGTAGCATTGGGAATGGCCACTTTTATCTTGGCTTTCAAATGTTGGCAGTTAAAAAAGACTTTTTAAGTAATCAAGTCAATAGTAAGATTAACTCTTTTTGTATACTTCTGTTACCCACATTCTCAGGAAAACTAACAAGACAAATCTGAAGGTATATACTGCATAAACTTTTGTACTCAGAGGACATATATACTGTAAATGTTGATGTAGTGATCAACATTCCACAGAATTAAAAAAGCTAACATTGTTTTTCAGGATGAAAGTTTACTATTGCACAGGTCAGTGACTTGATGTTAAAGGTACTTTAGAATGGAATAGCAAATTCATATTAATATGAAAAAATCTTTTTAATATCTCAGAAGTATTCTTTTAAATTGAGACTGTGGATGTAAAAGCCCAAGAATCTTCATGAGAACTTGTTTTTAGAAAGAAATTCACTTTCATGAAAAATTCAGTAGGTTAAAAAAAAATTAGATATTAACATTTCACATAACAGATAACTGTTTATATGGAATTACTTCAGACTAGAAAACACAGCTGGATTCAGTATATTGACTGGACTATTCATGAGAATATAATTAACATTTTTAATATATATATATTATATGTATATTTTTATATATTATATATAGAACAGAAGTCTCTTAGTCAACAGCCGAAAACATTGTCAGATCTTAAAGAGAGGAAATCAGTGTAGTATACCAGAAAGGTAGTAGCAAAATTAGATAAGAGCTATTGAAATGCAAAAACTAGAAGTGAGATAAGTATTAAATATCAGTTGATTTCTCAATGGTCTGTATGTTCAATTGGACCACTATGACTTAAAGAAAAAGTTACCATGAGGGGTTCAGTGACTTCAAGCTGTACTGGAATATTTTTCTGCAAGAAAAACAGCTCAATTGAGCTGCAAAAAGCAAAGCCTAACAATTAAACAAAACAGAGATGACAGGCACCATACCTGTACTTACATTGTACAGACAGATTCTGCTTTTACTGCAAGTTTTCAAGACCATGAAGTAGAAAACAAACAGTATTACATGAGCACAACACAAACTGTGGTCACTAGCTTTCTAAATTAATCCTTTTTGATATTTACTCACATCTTTTTGTCAACACCTGTGTTAATTTTGGCAAATTGAATTCACTGGGCTCAGTTCCACTTATCTTCTACACAAGGCTGACAGAAGAAAGCTATCTAAAAGTGGCCTTAATTTTAGCATCCCTGCGGTATTATCTTTCTAAAGAGATCATGCAATATTGTACTGCTGAATTACCCACTTGTTAAAAGAAAAAACTGTGCATACAATATGTAAGGCACATGTAGGATTAATGCTAGCAGTACTGCAAAACAAAACATTCAAAAATTGGAAGAACTAGACAAAACAATTACTTATGTGTGATGAAATGGTATTTTTTTTCCTTCAGAATCTCATGGATAATTGATTATGAGGCTTACTTTGAGCCTAAACTTGATTTCAACCAACTGCTCTGAAGGATTCTACGTGATATACTTTCTAGTGCTTTTGAAAACAGAGGTCATTTACTATTTCAAGAAGAAATATCAGTTTTACAGACTTGATGGTGAGACGCAGGATGTAAAAACTCCATAGATTGCTCAGTTAATACATATTTACTATTTGAATAATCTAATTATTTACATTTCTCTACATAGCCCTTTTAACAATGAACAGATTTTCCTTCAACTTTTCAGTGAAAGCCTATTCTTCAGCTACTCTCAACAATTCCTCTTAGAAATAAACAGTTTAAAAAAAAAAACAAAAAAAAACCAACTTGATTAGATGACTGGTTCTATATCATCCATACAGTCAGCCTTGAAGAGGCTTTGTCATACGGAAGAATTTACAGCACTCTTAAGCATCTCAGTCATTGCTTTAAATAGAAACACAGCCTGAAGTCAGGAGCTGTGACACTCCTGGAATACTGGCAGTTCTCCCTTTAGGTCTCTCACTTGTAGTTACTGTGTGCAATGAAACAGACCTAGTTGCATTATACCTTCTTTATCTAGGTATTTAAGGAAAAGAATGGGATTTCTAGAACATTCTAAAAGCAGGTACCCAAAAGAATACCAAATATGCTTTAAAAATCTTCATTTATCCCATAACAGGTTGACAGTAGTGTGGCAGTCATCAAAGACAGTCATTAAAGATGCTCCAGATTCTCAGACTCCCTGGCATCTGGAAGAGCAATGCTCACCAGCTGCCTTGCAGAGAAGCCACAGAGTATGCCTTAAATTGCAAATATAAGAAGGAAAAAATTGGAAGCAATTACATTCTTCCTGACAAGACATGCAGACATATTTACTGAATTTGTCACAATCTTTATCTACCTTAATAAAAGACTGTACTTTTAGTATGTTTTTTGTATGCTTTTTGTACTTTTAGTATGTACTTTTTAGTATGTAATTTTAGTCATGTTTTGATTTTAGTGATTTTTCATTCTGTGCTTGATTTTTTTTCTAACAGAACATTAATCCTTCAAAATATGAAGTTGTAACGTGCACAAAGAACTCGTATTAGATATTATTAGATTCAGTAAAATAGATTTATTTATACATTTAATTGAAGGGAACATACATTTATTAGTAAATTAAGAAAATGTCTGAGAAGTCAACTTACAGCAATTAATGATGGAACAAATTAAGGGCTATTTTACTTAAAACAAACAAACAAACAAAATACACAACAAAACAAATAGAAAAGAAACCAAACATGCAGATGAAAACACAGCACTAGATTAACAAATAATCAAAAAGCAAAGAGCCAGAAAGAGCATTACTTCCGAAACTAAAGACACTACCATTTTGCATCACAAATAAAAATACATCACAGCGTTGTTTCAAAGACAGGTGAAATTTAAGAGGGATGCCTTTAAGTGAAATAATTTTTCAAAAGCAAATTAGAAAATAAGAGGCAGAAAGAATTAACTTTAAATCCCTCTGTGAGAAAGCCAAGAAAGTCACTGTTTTAAAGATTTGAAGAACTTTGAAACACTTATTTGAAATCCAGACATAAGTTAGAATTCTGTACAACAGGTGGCTGGAATCTTAAGCAACTAATCAATATAGCTTTTCACACTGAAAGCTAAGGGAGATGAAACTAATGGTCTAAATTCATTTCATCTGCAGTCCAGAATTCTTTTTTTTTTTTTTGGTCAACTTTCTAAAATATCTTTTCATGTCTATCCTGTATGGAAACAGCAAAATATCATGAAGTGATAACTGTTTAAATATTTACGTTGAAATATTTGGCCTTGAGATAAAGTCTTAAGCAACATCTGTGCTTGAAGTCTTGATTCTGGATATCTGAGTTCAGTTTTGAATTGTCTTTAAATTTGGATTACTACGTATGCTAAATGACTTTTAAACTCTTTAAGTAATTAGTACTCATAGGACGAATGGTTTTTTTGCCTCACAAAATTTGCAATCATATTGTAGCATGTATCTAAAATCCTTAGTGACTGAAATAACAACTGAAGGGATCACAGAATCACAGAATTGTAGGGGTTGGAAGGGACCTCCAGAGATCATCGAGTCCAACCCCCCTGCCAAAGCAGGTTCCCTACACCAGGTCGCACAGGTAGGCATCCAGGCAGGTCTTGAACATCTCCAGAGAAGGAGACTCCACCACCTCCCTGGGCAGCCTGTTCCAGTGCTCCGTCACCTCACTGTAAAGAAGTTCTTGCGCATGTTTGTGTGGAACTTCCTATGCTGCAGTTTCCGGCCGTTTCCCCTTGTCCTGTC